ACCAGCAGCGGCTGAATCAGGGACTCCTGGGACAGAGCCTGACTATCATAAGGGGGGCTATGAGGGATCTGGGGTGGCATCCCCTCCCACCCCACTCCAGACCCCTCATAGCCCCCCCTTTTGATAGTCCAGCATATCTGATAATCCGGCACCCCCTGGGTCCTAAAGGTGCCGGATTATCGGAAGTTTACTGTACTTAAGCACAGGACTGGTACAGTTCTATGAAGAGAGTTACCTGCCCAAAGTTAAGCACTTCCATAAAGGATTGCAAAATTAGGGCTGGAAGAGATAAACAATGTAAAAGTGTGCCTATAACATGAAATATATGTGCAAGAATGTACAATATGGAAGAAAATATATGCAGTTTGAGAATTTAGCCCCTGTAGAAAAGCTAGAGTGTTATACTGAATATCTGTAAGTGGGTAGTGCAAGACTATATCTATTCACATTGATGAAATATGCAAGTTGTATGTAACATACACAAATGCAAAAATAGTCAAGAATATATATCTGACTCATGAAAGATATAATACACAAAGTACTATACTATGCAATTAGGCAAGAGATTTAATATATGCAAAATAGCATACAGTAAATCTAAATGCACAGTCAGGCTCTCTCAGAGAATGACAGAGGCCTGGGCCACGTTGAGTTTAGAGGCTCCAGGCCCAGGCTCCTGACATATCTAACTTCTCATCCACAGGGTCATACTATCTATCTATCTATCTATCTATCTATCTATCTATCTATCTATCTATCTATCTATCTATCTATCTATCTATCTATCTATCTATCTTGAGACATTTATTTATTAACAATTAAGTCATTATACTAATTGCATGTATATTAAAAATGTAACTTTAATTGTGAGTTTTTACTGCAAGCAGAACTCTTCATTTTAGAAATACTTTTCTGGCTTTGTTGTGCGCAAAGTCATTTATAATTGAAAAAAAATCTAATTGACATGCAACATCATTGTTAATGTTAAGCATTGCAAGACCATTCAAATGCTCTTGTCCCATTGTAGAATGATGATAATTCTGGCTTCTTTTAACATATTGAATGTGCATTCAGCTGAAACCACTGATGCAGGGAAACTGACAAATATGTAATGCAATTGTGATATTTGGAAATACCATCGACTGGCTGAGGTCGAATATTTCTTGAAGCAGTTTTTTGGCTTGCAGTCCGATTTAAAGTTGGTGGAATGTATATGTGCTTACCATCTCATTGTCGACATGCCGTGAAGGGAAACAGGCAGATGCTGCTTTAGAATTTTCCACTTTTGAGGACTGATGCTGAAGAGATTGTACAATTGCTGGATTGTTCCAAAGTATGTGATTGCTTCCTTGCATGATTCAGCGCAATCAACGCCGACAAGATTTAGTGTGTGGTTGCCACAACTGGAGAAAATACAGTTTGGATTTTGCTCAACCAGGACTGCTTGTACTCCGTTGTACTTCCCAGCCATATCGGAGCCATTGTTATAGGCTTGGCCAATGTAGAATTAAAAATTTAATTTGAAGCCTTCCAGAATTTCTAATACATGAGTGGCAATTTCTTTTCCAGTATTTGTTGGTGATATTTTCGAACAAAATGAATAATTCTTCAATTGAAATCTTTGAACTTCCTGAAATTTTAACCTATCAAACAACCAACATCATTTGTTTTTTATGAGAACAGTCTGGAGTTGTATCAATAATAATTGAAAAGTACTTTGTATGTTGTATCTCTTCAAAAATTGTTGTTTGCACAAATGTCCCACACAGCTCAATAAACTCATTTTGTATTCTAGTAGACAATTAATGGACTTGCATGAGTTTTCTGCTCTCTCATGATTCACAAATATACTTAACATGGCCTGATAAAAGTGGGTCATACTTGCTAAGAAGTTCAAGTATACCAAGAAAGTTTCCATTTGTAGGATCACTGATACAGTGACTAGAACCAAACAAAGCCAATCCCTGTTCAGAAAGAAAAAAAGTTACATGCAATATGCGCTCAAGGAGTTTTTTCCACTTATCAGTTTCTGTGTTCATTTCACTTAGGAGTAAGTTTTCAATTGAACTGTCAGATAGCGCTGCTTTACTAGTAGATTTCCATGTAACATAGTTATCTTTATGTGATACTGAAGTTTTATGTGCAGGTATTTGGTCTTTCAACATCCTCCAATCTCTACTGATGCTCCAACCAGACAGTACTGATGCATTTTAAGTATTACTGTTAAAAATGAATCAGGGTACACAGTATAGAGCCTGCTTTTCCATGCTCCAACAGAACCAGTCTTTTGTGTAGATTTCTCCATTTGGAAGAGTTTTTGTTAGCAGATGAGTGGGAAAAGCATGATTTTCAACATCTTTGGGTATATTACTTGGAATCTGAAAAGAAGTAACTGAGAAACGACTGCATTTGAGCAACATTGTTCTTATCAAGAAGTCCAATATCAGGTTCTGATGCCACTGCTGTTACACTGTGTTCTGTGCTAGTCATAAATTCTTGCTCTTTCTGCACAGCATCTCTGAGGTCCTCATTTTCTGCCTGTACAGTCTCTAAATATAGTGTAGAGTCTGAATCTATCACTGCTATTGGCATTTCTGTGTCTTGATTAATTACCTCCAATTTTGGGGCAGTGGCATTGAAATGTCATTTGTGGGTACAAAGTTTTCATCATCAGAACTGGAAGTGTCACTATCAGCATGGTCACTGTCTAATGGCTGAGGTGTCTTCTCTATGAGAAATGATGTTATTGGTTTTAAACTCTTAACTGCTGCTTCACTCTGCTGCTTACACCGCCTCTTACTTGCACCACTTTCAAATCTTAGCTTCATTTTTATAAAGAGGTTCTTTTACAACACAGTAACTCATAAGAAATGAATTCACTAAAGGCTATTGGTTTTACAAAATTGTAATCGTATATACTTCGTAATTAATATTATATAATAATGGTTTGGGGCTATTATTGACTATGGCCCTTATAGCCTTATTTCAAAATCTTGAAATTTCATCTGCTAACATGTACTTGTTAAATTCTTCTAATAACTGGTGCATTATTATGAATATGAACACGGGATGATTGCCAGATTAGATATAAAGTTTATTAAACTACTTGAATTAAAAGTTTATTATCACAAACAAGCCTTTATAGGTGAATCTAAAACCGGATGAAGAGGTAGCTTACAGCTGAGCCTGATATGATTATTGAATACAAAGACACATAAGAAAAAAACAGGAATACAAAAATCTTCTATGCAGACATAGACATCTAATTTAAAGGTTAAACTCACCCTCAGACCAAGCAAAATCACGTTACAGTAACAGAATTAATTATCAAAAGCTTTAGAGAGGTAGTTGAGTTAGTCTGTAATAGGAAAAACTTAAAAAACAGCAAATAGTCTAGTAGCACCTTAAAGACTAATAATCATGTAGATGATATCAGGTAAGGATGTTAAGGACTAGTCGACTATCCGATAAGCAAATGCTTGTCGAAGAGTCAGTTGATGAGTTGATTCTCCCCACCCCCCTTGTTGCCTCTATCAGATAGAAATGTGCGGCACTGCCCCTTTAAATGCTTGGGCTCAGCTATGTGGTGCTATCCCTTTGAAATGCGGAGGTAGCGTTTTAAAGCAGCAGCACTGCACAGCTAAGCTAGGGATCAGCTGTGTGGCGCTGCCCCTTTGAATGCCGCTTCAGGGTTTAGAAGGGGCAGTTGCACAGCTGATCCCGGGCTCAGCTGTGTGACTGCCCTTTTGAAATGCTTAAGTGGCATTTTAAAGGGGAAGTGGCGTGGAGCCTGAGGTCAGCTGGGGACTCCCCAGCTGATCCTGGGCTCCATGCAGCATTTCAGTGGAATGTTGGGTCAGCTGAGGAGTCCCTAACTGATCCTGGGTTCTGCTGAAAGGCAGCATGCAGCACAGCATGGAGCCCGGGAGTCCCCCGCTGACCCCTTGCTCCATGGCTTTGAAATGCATAAGAGCCACTGCTAAGGAGTCTTGTACCTTTCAAAGCAGGCACGCCCGCATGCAGCCTGGAGTCAGTGGGACTTCCTGCTGGCCCAGGCTGCACACGGAGTTCCACATTCCTCATTTGAAATGTACAAGAGCCCCATCGGGGGAGAGGTGGAGAGGGGCTATTGGCTAATTGAGTAATTAGCCATCGACTACTCCATTCCATCGACTACTCAACTAGTCAGTGAACCGCAGTTTAACATCCTTAGTATCATGGGCACAACATGCTGTCATCTGAAGAAGTGGGCTGTGCCCACAAAAGCTCATGATACCATCTACATGTTTTGTTAGAATTAATTATGACTTTCAAAAGCTCTAAACTATGCAAAGACCATACACAGTGTTTCATAATGTAGAATCACTAATCACAGAAGCTACTCCACTCTCACAGATGACACCTCGAATGTGACCGAAAAATTGGCAAAGGCTGGAGGTTCCACAATCATTTAAATTATTTTTTGCGGGTATATATAGCTTCTTTTGTTTTCTTTGTTATAACTGCAAGGAGTATAATAAATCAAAATGACCTGATAAAAAATATCAAAATTTGAGTCCTCTGTCTCCTAGGCTGGGGCCAAATTGCCCTCCTGGACCTCACTCTGATAGAAACTGTGCGCAATATGTACAAGTCTAGCCAAAATTCACAAGACATACACACCTATGGCTAGTAGCGTATCAGGCCCCTCTGTGCAAAGTTCAGTACAGCTAATATATGCAGTGGTATGTGACTATGCAGCTCCAGCTGGAAAGCACACAGCCGTGCAATACAAGAGCTCTCATGACAGGCTGTTTCAGGCCTTACAAGCGTCTATCAGCTGCAACCAAGCCTAGACCAGTTTTCCTCTCCCTTATTTGCATAGGCACGCCCTCCTAGAACGCTATTGGCCAGCTGCCTCGCCTGTGCTGGTCGGGCATCTCATTAGCATGTGCCCCGCCCCGCAGGCGCTGATTCGGCAGCGTGGGGTCGCTGCAGCCTCGCCCGGCTCCCTGGTTGGCGGTCTGGGCTGTCCGTCGGCGGAACGCTGGGGGCCGCACTTCCGTCTTGGTGTCAGCGGGTCTCGGCCCGGGGCTGCTGCGGGACCAGGTGAGGTAACTCGCTCGCGGCCTGGGCCCCGGCGGGGCCCCTCAGGCGGGGCTGCGGGTAACGGAAGACGAGGCCCGGGCCAGAGACAGGCGCCTCGTCCCTGAGCCTGGCGCGGAAGGGACCCAGTCCTGGGCTGGGGGACGAGACAGTGACCCGCTGGCACCGGGATCCTCCGCCCTGGGACGCGGGGAGGGGGACCTGCGCCCGGGGTGGGGGGAGAAGGGCGGTGAGGGAGCCCCCCCCCCCCCGGAGCAGGGTGGGACCCACCATCCCAGCCAGAGGCCGAGAGGCGGGACATGCCCCCCGCTGCGAGGTTACCCCCGGACTGACACAACCCTCTCCTGGGAGGGGGTGAAGCCCCGCATCGGACCCTGGGAGGGAGACCCCCTCCCCCAGACTGGGGCGCAGGAACCCGCTCAGCACCCCCAGGATGTGGGGCAGGAGGCCCTGGTCAGTCAGTTTCTGTGAGGCCGTTTTTTCTTGCAGAGGGGTGGGAAAGACCCCGGAAAGCTAAAGTCGGGTCTGAGGGGGAAAGACAGCAGGGGAGGGCTTATCTGTCTAGCAGGAGAAAGGGAGCTAAGTCTGCATCCTCCCCTATGATGAGGGGTAACTGCTTTTCCTTCCCTGGCAGAAAGGGCTGTTTTTATTGGTGGTTCAAGCCTCCATGTATAGTAAGGCCCTACAGCTGAACACATAACATTAGATCTAAATCCTTACTGCCAGACTCTTTTGCCCCTAAATTGCATTGCATAAATGCACTGAATCTTACCACCATAGGGGGCAATGTTTTTCATTGCACGTGATTCTTTAAATTGGAAGGCTTCTGATCTGGAGAAGTTGGGAACAAGCAGTGGCAGAAGGTGCTGATGAACCTTTTGGGAGGAGAGCAGCTGACATAGTGTGTCTAGTTAGACCAGAGCTCCATTCCTGTGGACTTAGGGAAGGCAAGGACAAGAGTTTGCTGTACTCACAAAATGTGCAGAAGTAGAGCTTGGTTTCAGCATGGTTTAGGAGCATGGGGGTACAGATTTCTTCCTGCTTGAAGTTCTCTTTCTCTCCAGCTGCCACTTACAGCCCTTGTCACTGCATACCCCTTGATGCTATATTCCTCCAGCTATCCACAGCATCCCCCTCTTGCAGAGCTTCTGAAAAGGAGCATGTAGCCTGGGGAAAAAAAGGGGAGGGGGGATGTTTATCTCTCTCAGAGGCTTATGTGGCATGTTAATATATGTTTACTTTTTTGGCTATTTGTCTAATATGAGTTTTAATCCTTTATATGCTGTCTGTTCATTTAGCTTGTGAACTCTTTGAGGGCATGGTCTGTCTTCCTGCAACACATACTGGCCAGAACTTGGAAACTTCATACTCTAGAAGCACATACAGTTTTGTATGTACCTGTGTCAGGCTTCCAGCTCCACCAATGAATATCTGCAAATGTATGTTCAATGTTAATAGATATTTACTTTCAACTCTTGTGAATTTGTTTGAGTAAAGTGTTTTATTTAAAACTTCAAGTAGCAAAAGTGAAGACTGATTTGTCAGTGGATCACTGTTTCATCTTTTCCCCCCATCTGTCTTGCTAACATACATTTCCCTTTCTTCAGCATTGTCAAGGAGAACTTTTTAGGGATACTCATTGCATGAATAACTGTTTATTTTACTGATCCTTTCAGAGGTTGAGCACATCTACACTGTGATGTTCACATTGACATTTGGAGGCACCCACATGTATAACATCTTACAACTGTTCTGGGACTCCTGAAACTCACCAGTGTACTTCCTGGAAGCAGGTTTTTTTCGGCAACCTCAAAATTTGATGCACTTTGTTGTGGGATAGTGCTAGAACTGGTTGAAGTAGCACTGAAACACAAAGCATTACAAACTGTTTCTTATGGTGCCTTTTCATTTAGGGTATGTCTACGCTTGCTCCCTAGTTCGAACTAGGGCTGCAAATGTAGCCAACCGAAATTGCTAATGAAGCGGGGATTTAAATATTCCACTCGCCAGCTGATTCAAACCATTTTTTGAGGAGTAGCAAGGGGTTTGATTCGAACTAACGCGTCCCGGAGCTCACTTCCTGGTTCGAATCAGCTGGCGAGCAGAATAGTGCACGAGCGAGATTATGTTAATGAAGCACAGGATATAGGACTATAATAGATTTTAAAGAGAAGCTAGATAATTTCATGGAGGTTAGGTCCATAAAAGGCTATTAGCCAGGGGATAAAATGGTGTCCTTGGCCTCTGTTTGTCAGAGGCTGGAGAGGGGTGGCAGGAGACAAATCGCTTGATCGTTGTCTTCGGTCCACCCTCTCTGGGGCACCTGGTGTTGGCCACTGTCGGTAGACAGGATACTGGGCTAGATGGACCTTTGGTCTGACCCATTACGGCTGTTATTATGATATTTAAATCCCCGATTCATTAGCAATTTCAGTTGGCTACATTTGCATCCCTTGTTCAAACGAGGAAGCAAGCGTAGACATACTCTAAATGAAAAATGAGGAGTAACATTAGTTCAAACCAAGGGGTGAGCGGAATAGCATGCTGGTGAGCGGAATCAGATGGTGAGCGGAATAGCATGCTGGCGAGATTATGCTAATGAAGTGTGGGATATTTAAATCCCCGCTTCATTAGCAATTTTGGTTGGCTACATTTGCATCCCTAGTTCGAACTGGGGAGCAAGAGTAGATGTCCCCTTAGTGTAGACAGAGCCTTCCTCCAAAATAATTATTCACTCATGTGGTGTGACGCTCTAATAGGAAATGTTTTAAACTTTGATTCTCCTTGTTCAGTTAAAGCAAAAAGAGAGATTTGTAACAGTTGAATTTTAAATGAAGGTGTGCTGAACATAATGGACAGTGAATCTGGAAAGATTAATACATTGTTCTCTGGGCTGTGTAGTGAGGAGACTCTGACTTGTAGCAGTCTTCTGACTTGAGAGAGGTTTCAGGGAAGCTGCCTATCAGCACACCTCAATTGGTTTAACTTCAGAAGGTAATCTGATAATGAATTCTGAAAAGGAAATATTGAAACAGCTGCTCTCAATACCTACAGCATACATTTCATGAAGAAGAATGTATACTGTTTTTCCAAAATTAGTTCCTTGGACATGCCAATGCAGTTTCATAAATAGATTGCAGAAGTTAAAGGCACAAAACAACAGTTAGATTACAGACTCCATCCCTGGGAATAGTTGAAGTACAGTCATTATTCTGGAGTAATTTACCCTAGAGTGGACTCCTAAATTAGGTGATGGATAAAAGATTTAATACTCATCCAGAAGTTTAATTGTGTGCATTACTGTCTGCACTGGTTAATTGTTGTGGCCATTTGGAATCATTTTCATTTGTGGATATTTTTACTTCTTTTTTTAGTTTTATACTTAAGAACAGTTACCATGTTCTCAGTAGCTTTCCATAACAGTGAAAAATATTTTTTTACCTTAGGTAGTAGCTTTTATAAATAAAACTATAATGTTACTTGTATGTGTCTCTTATTTTCAAATGTGTACTTCATACTCATGAAACTTAAATACAAAATAAGCTTCCCAATGTCTTTCATTTTAGTGTCTCACAGCACACCCATCAGTCTTTTTGGCTTTAAGATACTGCATTGTATTTAAGTAGTTTTGCATAGATCTAAATATATGCCATACAGTGACTGCTTGAAACCAGGATTTACACATAAGTACTCTGATACTTTAAGTGAATAACTTGCATTACTCTTGTAGAGCAAGTTGCCCTTGAACATTCCAATGCTACATCAAACTTGTTATTTAAGACTTCCTCGTACATGTCAGCAATCTTTTCCTGTCCTTCAATCGATGTTGATTTTTGTCACCTGAGTTATTAAAATTCCTCCTGAAAAGAAATTTCTGCTCTACATATTTAGACAACATAGTGACATAAATTCTTAGTATGTTTGTTTACAGTTCCTGTCATATTCTTTGCAAATAACTGTGTGATTATGTATTTCTGCAGAAATCATTTACTATATTCTGCATAAAGTATTTAATATTTTCCCAGAATATTCAGTAAATATAGTTAAAAAACTGCCTTATATTTTTGCTAAATTAAATGAGTTGATAATAGGCTTGTCATGGGAACTTCCTTATCTGGATGAAAGAAATGTGAATTGTGAGCAGTGGAAGAATTGGTAAATCTGCTTGTAGACAGAGTTTATTGGAACATGCAGTACAGTATTTTGAATATTTGTCTGCAGCATAATGTAGAATTGATTGTAAATGAAAGTAGGATTTTATACAAACATATTGGCTACGTCTAGATTGCATCCCTTTTTTGTAAAAGGGATGCAAATTAGACGTATCGCAATTGCTAATGAAGCGGGGATTTAAATCTCCCCCGCTTCATTAGCATAAAAATGGCTGCCGCTTTTTTTCAGCACGGAGCTTTGCCGGAAAAAAGCGCCAGTCTAGACGCGGATCTTTTGGAAAATAAAGCCTTTTACGAAAGATCCCTTATTCCTCTTAAAATAAGGGATTAGGGATCTTTCGGAAAAGGCTTTATTTTCCGAAAGATCCGCGTCTAGACTCCCGCTTTTTTCCGGCAAAGCTCCGTGCCGAAAAAAAGCGGCAGCCATTTTTATGCTAATGAAGCGGGGGAGATTTAAATCCCCGCTTCATTAGCAATTGCGATACATCTAATTTGCATCCCTTTTACGAAAAAGGGATGCAATGTAGACGTAGCCATTGTGATTAAAATCTTCTCGCATATATTTGTGTGAATTCTGTAGTGTAGGGTATTGCCCTCAACCTTCGCCTTTTTTAGTAATTCACTCAGAGAGAGAAGGTGAGAGAACAGAATTGTTATTCTAAAAGATTCAACGTAGCAAACTGTATTAAGACACTAAACAGTTACAATGTGTGTCAAATGGGATTTAATATTAGCCTTAAGTGCTGTTAAAAACACATTGTGAGCCACCTATACAAAAAATTAATGTCTTTTCAGGATTACTGAGGTATAAGAATAAACTGAGCCTGTTTTTAAGTATTTTAATCATACTTTATTTTCATTCTGTTTTAGAAAATAAATTCCTGGCCTTGGCAAATTCTGCAAAGTATTTCAATATATTTTACTGTGTACAAGCATTTCATTTCATCATCTGTTATCCTTACTCCAATAAGAGGTAAGATCAGTAGGAATTCCAAAGTTGTCTAAAAATTGCGTGGAAGTAGCAAGCTTATTTATTTTTTGTACTAAATTATCAGTGGGTAGAAGACCACTTATACCCACAAAATGTGCATGAGCTTGAGTATCTCCATTTTGTTGTTGAGTTTTGTAGATACAACAGTCACGTACACATGTGGCTAAGGGTGTATACAGTTACAGAATTGGACATGCACTTCTAAAGTTGGTCCTTTCCATATTATTATCAGTATTATAAATTTGGGAATTGGAAGGCTTAAATGTTAGATATTTTTGCTGATGGTAATTATGTTGTTAAGTTAGTAGTACTGGTAAAGATGTATGTATTAAAAGGAGAGGGGTTTTTTTGTTTTGAAGAATTTGATTTCCTTTTCTAAGGTTTTGCTAGGAATTTTCAGAAACCAAGTGTTGCTAGATAATTTTCTATAGTGAAACAAAAACTTCTTGAGTTGCAAATGAAACTGCAATACATTTCTTAGTGACTGAGTTTGAGGGTTATTGACACTGTTGCAAAGTGGTTAGTCTGTAAAGTAGACTAACAGTAAGAGGAACAGCTTTTTATGAGAATTGTATTATAAATAGAAATAAATATTCTACGTCAAGAAGTTAAACTGTCTTAGTACTTTAATTCTTGAAGATCACAAATGTGTTATTAAGACTCATTCCAGTTTACTTAAACATCTGTACTCTGAATATTGCTTTTGAAGAGATAGTAAAATCAGAGTTTCTGCTATAATGCCAATTTTCAGAAACTTCATATGATGAAGCCTTTGGTAAATAGTCTGTGGGACTGTTTGCAGGGTGCTAGTGCTCCACCATTGCGTTCTTTCCCAATAATTGCTGATGTATATAGAAACATGGCTGTTTACTGGTAGCACTGCACTATGTTGGTAAGTCACTAGTATCATAACAGATGACTTTTTTTGTATTGTGGCTATTTTCATGACACTTCAAGAGTAGGTCTCCATAGAAATGGCTGATAGTGAGGTACATTGTACCGAATAAATGTATAATTGGATGTATATGAAGAAAATTGATGCATAGAGGCATTATGCTTAATAAGATGCATCTGGGTGCCAATGCCTATAAACAAAACCTGTAATGACTCTTTATTGTTCTCTGTTGTTTTTCTGCTTTGCTGTTTGTGTACAGTAACTGTTCTAGCAATTCTTAAACTTTAATGGCCAAGTAATGGCATTGGTCCCAAAAAGTTATGTGTGATTAGGCATAGGACCATGCTAGCAAAATATGAGAGCAAATGGATGTGTTGCTTTTCTCTTTCACTAGGTATGCTAGAGTGAGTGGTATGAAAATGGTCAGAAATGATGACATCTAGCTGATTGTTTGCCTGTTGCTAAGAGTTCAGTATTTTTGTGGGCTTGCAATATGGTACTTATGTACTGCAGCAAAATGGATGGGTAATACTGCTACTCTACCTCATGTACCAATTACTTAATACTGTTCTGGTTATGATAAACCTGTTGTTGTTTGTTTAAACATCCTCTCTAAGCAAATTTACTCCCAAAATGGTCATTATGAAAATATTACTCATTGGTGTGTGTGTGTGTGTGTGTGTGTTTTTTTTTAAGCAATCATTTTATGACTCTTAAGTTTTAGCTGACATGAAGGAGGGAGTGGGCAAACTTGGAGGGGTTCTTTGGGAGGGTGGGGAGTACATTTTGTCTGTTTAAAAATTTTGTATTGTAGTGTGTTTAAAAAAATCTTAAAGGAGGGACTCGGCGACATATGAAATTACTAAAGGTGTATAAATCCAGGGCACGTTTGTAGGGATGTGTCTTTTTTTTTCCCCAAGCCTTAGCAACAGTAGATAATGAGACTGAACATCCGATATGTGCTCTGCAAGTCAGCATTGAATCTCTCACCGATGACATGATGGGTATGTTGGTGGAAACATCCAGTGCCACCGAATGAGCTTTATGTTACTTCCTTCCATCTCCGTTTACAGCAGTCCTGCATCTTTCAGAGTCAGCAAATTAAAAAATAGAAATAAACAACCATTTGGAGAAAAGATCCTGTTCAGGGCCTGTTTCGGGCTGCAGGATAATATTATAGTTAAGGATACGATTTAGTCTTCAAAATCACAGGTTCTGTGACTTTACCAGACCTCTATAACTTCAGCTGCAGCTGGAGCCAAAGATGGAACAGTGGGGTCTGCCCCCCTGCTCCCAGCTTGAACTGTCATTCCTCTCCCTCCCCTCCATAGGACTCCAGCTGTGATTTTCTCTGACTCTCCCCTCCCCCCCCTTGCACCCCTGTTATTTTTAGTAAAAGTCTGGGATGGGTCACAGCTCCCGTGAGTTTTTGCTTATTGTCCACAACCTGTCCGTGACTTTTACTAAAAATAACTGTGACAAAATCTTAACCTTAATTATAGCCATACTTTTGAAAGGATCTTCCAGAATTTAAATCCCATGGTGAGGTGGGAATGGGGAGAATACATTGTATAACAATGCAAGCAGCATTTCTAATGTTTCCTAAATATTCTCTCTGCAAAGAGGAAGGGTAATATGAATGCTTTTGTAAATAAGAGTCAGACGAGCTAGTGCTAGACCATGGCAAAGCCTCCAAGATAAAGATCATGGTCTCTATTCATTGCTTTATAAGGAACAAATGAATGTTTCTTGCTGTTAAGGTTATGTGGGAAGTAATTTGGCTATGTAATACAGTCATTGCAAGGCTTTCCAAGGTATTCACCTTCAATTAAAGAGTTGCATGATTTGCGACAGGATGAAACAAATTAGAAATACAAGTTTTGTCAGAACTGGGTAGAAATGATATCACATTGAGGTTCGCTACTGCCGTACTGGAGAAATTCTTTGTTAATATGACTTGCAAGTGGCTTAAAGATAGTGCTACATGCACTAGGCTTGCTTCAATAGAATTTACTAGCCAGCTCTCATTGTACTATTAACCTTGCAGCAACAATTGTCTCCCAAAAGGTGATGAGCAAGATAATTTCCTCTAGGAACCAATAAGGGGCAATTAATTTTGCAAGTCGGAGAGGAAATGTGAATTTTTTTTTTTTTACAGGATAACTAATGTCAGTTGGTTTTTCTGTCTCTTTTCCCTAAGTGTATGTAGCATTGTATACCTTGAAATAATGTTCCCTGTGGCCTTGTGAATCTAAAAAAGAAATTAAGTAATTTCGTGGGCTTTAACATTTTTTGGGGAGGGCACTACAATACTGGATTAGTTCTCAAGGAAAACCCATATGGTAAGGTTAATGCTAGCATAATCCCTAAACAGTATGACTTCGGATGGATTCAGATAGCAAAAGAGTAAATGTAAGGTTCAAAAGCAACCGGGCTGCAATGGCTTCTGATGAAATATTACTGAAGGTCTGCATATTAGGGATGTTAAATTTCGATTAATCTGCTAATAGAGTAGTCAATGGAATTTCCATCCACTACTCGATTAGTCAATAAGGGGGGAAGCTCGCTATCCCGCTGCGCCTCTCCCTTTCAAATGTGCAAGAGCCACATTTCAAAGGGAGAGGCGCAGCGGGGAACCAGCACAAAAAGGGATCAAAGCAGTCCCCGCTTGCATGGGGCCCTAGCTGTTGTACCTCTCCCTTTGAAATACGGCTCTTGTGCATTTCAAAGAGAGAGGCGCAGCAGGCAGCTCTTGTACATTTCAAAGGGGAGAGTCAGTAGTCTGGACCCTGCGCGAGCAGGAACTGCTTTGGTCCCCGCTTGCACCGTTTCCCCTGCTCTGCTTGTGCTTCCCCTCTCCCTCCCACATGGAGACAGTGCCAGGGAAAACCAGCTTTTAAGCCGACTCCCCACGGCACAGGCTCCTGCTCTTCCCCCCACTTGGTGCCTCTAATAGAGGCAGCAAGAGGGTGGGAGTGACTAGTCGCTTACATCCCTACTGCATAACTAAGAGAGGGGAAAAATTGTATTTTTGTATATAAATAGCAACATCCATTAGAGGGCTTCAAGGGATCCAGAAGTGTACCTTTTCTATGCCTCCTGGAAACGAAAAGGTGGGGCAATGTGTGTTATGATTTGGAGGTCTCTGCTTTTGCACTCTGGTGAATCCTTGATTTTCCTTTTGGGCTTCAAATGAATTCATCTTCCATGTAATATCCTAACATGTTTGGTAGTCCGCTGTCTTTGGTAGTGCAATAAACCAGGCAGATTGCTAGCAGGATCATCTATAAGTTGTTTGGCAGAGCTTGTCCATAGCATCTGCCATGTGTTTTCTGGAAGCTGGATGGAGAAGACCTTCTCCAGCTGTTCAGAATTGGTGGGACTTGAAATGGAAGTGAGGTGAGTGAGCAAGGTTTTTGTGGAGCTTTTGGTTAGCAGGAGCTTTCTTGCACTTATGCAACATAGCTATTTCTTGCAAGATGCTTGGCGAAAGGATATCTGCAAGGAGAAGTTGGTAATGTGAGTGTCTGCAGATATATTTGGCTGACACATTGTAAGCCAAACTTTCCGAGATGTATTAGCAGTGTCATTGCCGACCACCATGTCAAGCATTCTAGAAAAGAGGTGATAAATTTGGTTCTTGATCAGTTTAATAACATGCTCCATTTGTATAGCACTCAGAAATGAATGGCCAAGAGCACCCAGTAAAAATAATAAATCAGGTTTAAGATTCATTTTTAATAGAAATAAATACAGCCTTCAGAAAAGATTTAAAAAATGGCTGAAGGCCAGAGTTTCAGCTGGGTGTCACTTAAATGTTTCTTTCCTGCAGCATACATAGAAAACACAGCCAAGCACTTTGCACTGCTCTCCATGTTGGGCTTGCTTGTTGAGGGAATTTAATTTCTTTTGTGCAGATTTTGGTTGAGAATGTTGTTGCAGTCAGGCTTTGAGAGGAAACAAATTAATTTGCTGAGTAATTCCTCCTTTGTGTTTCACCATATAGCTGCATTGCTGTTTTCTGGTTGAACTAGTAAGTATGTGATGATAGCAGCAGGTATTTAAATAGTAATTTTTAATTAGGTTA